TAGAGATTCTAGATTCTGATTTCCTTTTCTAAAGACCATGTTTTGTTTTTGTGAAATCCATGTTACTTAAATAAAATAATCGAAACAAGTAATTTATAAATTGAAACATTTATTTAGCTCATGGTTCTATAGTTCTAGTCCAAGAGAAAGAGACAGTCTGCAGCTCCACCCTGGCCTCTGAGGGCATCTTCTAGGGGTTCACTGCACTTCTCCATAGCACCACCCTCTGGAAAAAGCCTTGATCACATGCACTCAGAGAACACTCACCCAAACCGAAAGGATTTGTATTTTTGTTTTTGTAGGCAGTTCACTTAGCTTTGGGCATATTATAAAATGTATTTCCTCTGAGTTGAGCAGGAACTAAAAATTATCTTCAGGTCTTCTATGATTCCAATTACGGTTCTTAACTATTTGAAATATTATTAAGCATGCATATTTCAGGGATCAGCCAAAATTTGGCAGAGGTAAGTCCTGAATTTGAATCACATTTTTTGGCATACCCTCCGTTCTGCATTTTCTATGACTGTCAGGAGCTCTGGGAGCCTCAAATCCTGGACTCTGATTCTCCATTATTTTTGCTTTAGCTCTAACTGCTCTGCTTCATGTGTGAAACGGCCTCAGGCAAAAAGCCATACAAACATTAATTTTTAGTAAGGTTCTATTCTTTCAAGGTTGAACTCCTAACCTGTACTTGCTTTTGGCTACGCTACATTAGCATAAAATATTTGTGTTTCGTATTTTCCCTAGAATGTATAATTGCTTTCTGTATGAGGATGGATTTGAGCCAAGCTGCTCTACTATGCCTGGAGGAATCCCATCCCACCTTGTTTATTTACTTAGTTGAGTGCATTTTCACTTCCAAAAAGAATGCTAAATTCTTGTTGAAGTTGGAGCAATCTATTTTTCAAGGTGTCTGCTATAGATTGGATGAATTTTGTTCCCTGAAGGTTCATTTGTAAGAGGTTGAGTCCACAGTGCAGTGGTGGTGACATGCCAGCTTAGGAAGCAGGGTCTGCTGGGAAAGCATAAGAGGCCCTGCCTCGCCTGCATTAAGGTAGCTCCTATAGAGCCCTGTTTGGTTTGGGGGAGTGAAGTGCGATAAAAGCAAAGACTTCTGGCTTCTGTTTAATGCTAGCATCTCTCCTGGGTGATCCTGGCACAATGCTCTGCATAGATGTGGGCCCTCACTAGAGGCCAAACCAATGGAGCTGCCCAGTCTTGGACTTTAGCTTCCAAATTATTATTGCCTTGAAAATAGTAGCTTCAAGTATTTTTCATTCAGAATGGACAATGGAAAGCTGACTAACATAGATCTTTTATTGCAAAGTATATATGATCTTTTTTTGGTAGTTTTTATTTTAAAGAGAATAAAGCCAAGCAAAATAAAGCAGAATGAAGCCAATCAAAACAAAACAGTGTGAGTGATACAGCATTTCAAAACAGGATAATAGGAAATCAACAGTGATTACCATAATGCTTCTTCTTGTCTTCAAAATAGTTGCCCATAACTTCAGACATAGTAGAAGTCAAATAAAACAGAACAGAACCAATAAAAACAAAACAATGCAATAAATGACTTTAAAACAAGATTATAGTAAATCCAAAGTGGCTACCATAATGTATCTTGTTATCTTTGTGTATATATGATCTTTTAAGACAATTCTAGGGCCGAGGCTTTAGCTCAGTGGCATAAGTGTCTGCCTGGCAAGCACAAAGTCATGAGTTTGATCCCTGGTACAAAAAACATTCTATTTAGTCTTAAAGTATTCTATCTACAGTAACCAAAGGCAAGAATATTTTACCAGTGCACTTCAGCATATGGTACAGTATAGACTAAAGCACACACTTAAAATGACCAAATTGTTACACAATGAAGTATTACTGTCTAATTAAGTTTTGATAGACTATATTTTAAAACAATTTCAAATGTACAGAAGAGAAATGAGATGATGACAAAATGTTTGCAAATACTTACTGTCAGTTTGTATCGTGTGGGGTAGCTTCACATCAATGAACCAATTTTGATTTCTTATTACTTACTGAGCCCATAATTTATTCATATTCTTTTAGTTCTTAGTGCTCTTTCTGCTTCAGAGTCTCATCTGAGATCCCCACTGCACTAAGTTATTAGCTCTCATTATACTCCCCTTGGCTGTGACAGTTTCACAGATTTTCACTGTTTTGATGACTTTGACAGATTGTGAAATACTAATTTTTTTTTGTAGGATGGCTCAGTTTTAGGATTTGCCTGGCATTCATTCCCACAATGCAATTGGATTTATAGGTCTTTGGTGGGAAAACAGAGTTAATATGCCATTTCCTCAGTGTGATTTCCTGCTGTTGATGCTCCCTTGATGACCCAGATGAGGTGGCGGTTGTCAGGTTGCTCCTCTGTGTAGTTACTCCCTCAGCCTGCTTTCCGTACTTCCTTCTTTGAAGGTCAGTTAATATGCACAGCTCACATTTGCCAAATAGAGAATTTCACCCTCCTTTCTTGGCAGTGGGTTATTAACATGACTAGTTTGGATAATGTGAGAGGCATTTTTATGCACCATTTTATCTAGGATACATTACCCATTTGTAGGTCAGCAGTAGTCTACATGTTGCTGTTAAGGCATTTGTAGATGGCATTAATATTTACAGTCAGTTGATTTCAACTAAAATAGATCAGATTCCATATAATAGATAGACCTTATTCAATTGGTTGAATGTCTTAATGTAGAAAACTGATATCCTAAAGAAGAATATTGTTTTATATATATATATATATATAAAAACTTCCAAGTATATGTATTTATATAGGGAAATATTTTCCAAATTGCATTTCTGAATCAGAAAAACTAATATTCTGCATGGTTTATAAGCCACTCAGTATACAGAATAAAGTTATAGAAGGCTATGTGAATTATGGCAATATGGCACTTGAAAAATGAAAGTATATATATATATATATATATATATATATATATATAATATATGTGCAATTCTGGATAAGAAACGTGTGTATGAATATTTTAATACTAAATTCACTGAGACATTATGAGATTAATATAAGTTCGACCACTGATGTTGGGGCCTTCACAGTGAAGATCCGTGAAACGGACTTGCATGTGTCATTGTCATGGGCTCTAGGCCTCTGGTTTCACTCGTGGGAGGCACTGTCATGGGCTGTAAGTCTTCAGCTGAATTCACAGAGGGTATTGCCATAGGATCCAGTAGAATGATTTGAAGCATTTAACCAGATGAAAGGCTCCAATGGAATTATGGGTTTCAAGGGTGAAACGGGAGAAAGTGGTTGTTGGGAAGACAGGAAAATGGAAAAATAAATTGAAGGCTTTCACCTGAAGGGAAGAGTGCATTTAAACTACAGGAGATCCTTGTTTTTTAGTCTTGCCACGTCATGCTAAAAGGTAATGGGAAGTAAGGACTGTGATTGTAATAAATCTTTTAATGATTTTAATGTCACTGTTTAGATATATGTTTGTAATTAGGTTAGTCAAAGTAATGTGGCTTAGCCTTGAATTTTGGCCACCCTTTGAATACTTTGCTTTCAGTGTGAGAATATGCACAGTAAGAATTGTGTATATGGAATTGTTATATCAATGTAAATCTGAATAGATCAAAAAGTGTTAACTTCATCACCAATCTGCCACTAGAGACTGTGGTTTAGGGAAATGTGGTTTTCAATGTATGGTTATCAAGTTGAACAGGGGTAGATTGTGTGGGATTGAAAACTGGTGGTCAATTTAAACACCAGCTGAACTGCGTCAGTGAGGTGCTGAGTGTAGATGGCCCACCTGAGGATTGTTACCAGCACAAAAGGAGAGGAGACCTGGAGAGGAAAAGTTGATTGGTGGTGTTGGTTCTTTTTTTTTTTTTTTTTTTTTTTTTTGCTGTGGGTTCTGCTGGAGGATATTGCTGAACCTCTTGCCTGATTTGAACTTGGCTGTTCTCACTGTCAGAAGAGCGCAGAAACTTGTTGTTGCTGAGAGTGGCTGTGGTTCACTTTGAAGGAGTGTTGGTCCTTATGCTGAGCAATTGCTTTCTGGATCTGGAGGGAAAGACAGTGTGCTGCCCAGTCTCTAGGAGAAGCTTGTGATGCTGGCTTCCTCGTATGAACTTGGCTGTTACCATCATCAGAGGAGCTCAGGACCTCATTAGGGGAGTTCTGTTTTCTACTTTGAACGAGCTTCCTGGCTCCAGTGCAGAACCCCCAGCCTACTGGCACAGATCTTCAACCGGCTAGGAGACTTTCTAAATATAAGTAAAGTGCAAAATATGAGATAGATAATAAGTAGGGAGAGCTTTTTCAAATGGAAAGAGGAATGAGAGATGGAGGGAGGCAGCAAAGAAAAGAAGGCTGAAAATGGAAATGGAACTTTTGCAAATGGGAAGAGGAATACAATGGTGAATAAGGAGGAAGGAGAGGATATAAAGGGAATGAAAAAGAATTACAAAGTGTTGTGTGCAAGTGTAAACTCCTCCATGGTAACAGTCATCTTTATAAATGGTGAACAGACACTAATGAAAATATGTGATCTTCTGGACAAAAAACTCCCTTACACATGCATCATCCATCCCCCCAAAATACACACACTTACACATACACCCACACAACCATACATGAGCTAATTCTTCCATATGTTAATGATTTTATTACTCAGTGTAACTGACCTTACACATTAGTTATAAATCTGGGGATTTGCCATTGTTCTTGACCTTTCAATGTTATTATCAAGAAATCATTGAATATTTCTTCAGGAATTAATTTTATGTTTCCTTAAAAGATTCTGCTCTCTTTTCTATTTTTATAATGCTTGATAACATACTAAATTTAGTATCAGTATCATGGCCATGCCAGGGATAAGCTTTCTGTTACTTTAAAACAATGTTCCTGGAGAGATCAAGAATGGCTTTGTAGTTCATGAACTGCCTGCTGGTAGTATTATCATAGGAAAACTTCACATGTGTGAGAGGAACTAAAACAAGGGCCTGATGCTACCTCAAGCTGAAGAACCAGAAATTTAAAGGTTAAAAACAAGATGCTGTTTCTCAGCTAGAAATAGCACTGGGCCTCATGACTCAGTCCTAACTCAGCCCTGCAGAAATAAAAACAACCTCTGTGGCTGTGATATGCTCGGGCTGTGCTGTGCCAGGGAACTCAGAGATAGATCCTGCCATTATGCTAATCAGGGTTGTAAAATATGTCAGACTCAAGTCTACAGAAACCAGGTGTCTTAAAGACAAGTTGTGCAGAACAAAGACAGTTAATTAACTCTGACCTGCTGGTCACCCCTTATGAACTGACCAATAGCAGATAGATAAGATGCCCACCGCTCTGCACTAACTGTAATGATTGGCTTCTGTAATAAACACTTACATTGCAGTTTTTCCCCCTTAAAAACACCAGCCTTGCCCCAACTCAGGGTTCTCCGTTTCCACCTGTTTGGAGGACCCTGTGTACACGGAATAATAAAAATCCCTTTGCTCTTACATGAGAGCAAGGCCCTTGGATTCTCCTTCACGACACCGGTCTTACATTTTGGAGGCTCCAGCGAGATCAAACTGAGATCAGACCTCCTCGCAGAGGGAGACCCCAATGGCACCTCTCTGGGGTAAGTAGTACGGCCGGTTTTTGTTTACTTTCATTTTGATCGATCGCTTATTTTCTCCCCTTTCTTTTACTGCCCTGAACCGTTCGTTTTCTTTGGTTCTGATTTCAAAGGCAGTTTGTTTCTCTTGGGGGACGCCCCAAGGTTCCCCTGAGGAACGTTCGTCGGTGGCTCACCGGTTCACGTAGGCAGGTTGCTCCTGCTGAGTCGGGCAGGTCGCTCTTGCCGTTAGTTGTAGCCATTACATGGCTACGTTCGCGGTGGGATACTCTGCCGGTTCGTTTCCACCTGGTGGTTTTGGTATGTGTGTGCATGATGCCGGCTTGTGAGTTGTGTTCTGAAATGTAAACTTTTTGTGTTTGTCTGTGTCTTCCCTGTTCATTGTTATTATTCTCTTTTTCTCCAGGATAAGATGGGACAGACAACTTCATCTCCTCTCTCCCTTACCTTGGACCATTGGCCCGAGGTTTGAAAGCGAGCTCACAATCTTTCTCTCCAGGTTAAAAAGGACATGATTAATGATGGTACAGCTGAGGGAAAAATGCCCTCCCTACAGTATTGGCCATTCTCCTCCTTGATTGCCTGTTTAAACTTGTTACTAACTTAGGGGCTTGTTGCTCATTTCTGTTGCAGGATCCATATGGCTTATTAGATCCAAGGTTCATAATAAGAAAAATTATTTCCTTTAGCTCACCAAACTGTGCAAGAAACAACCTTTGTTTGTTTGTGTCTTTAATGTTGTGGCACCTTGTTTAATATGTAAGTCTTCAACTGATTGCTTGCAACCTTGGCATGCCTTTTAAAAGGAGTATTTTTCTTTCTGGTTAAAATGTAAACATATGTGCACATATATGTGTATATTTATGGTTTTTAAGAATCATATCAACTTTACCAAGTGAAAACCAGGTCACACTGTAATTGAGCCAGTTAAAAGGTTATAGTTTAAAAAAAACAGCATTTTAATGTGGTAAAGAGACATAAAATAATTAAATATGATTTAGACTACTAGAAGGTGACTTCAAGGGTTTTGTTGTGAGTTTTAATGTTGTCTGAGAAGTGAGAGAAAAGGTAATTGACTGGTGATAGTAAAAAGGAGGGACAAAGAAAGTGGTTTGTCTTCAAGTAAAATGTCTGGCTGTGCCAGAATATGAAAGAAGATAAAACTTGGAGGTATATTGTAACTTATAGAAAGCTCGAGATGATGTAAATTTTATTTGTCTTGGTTATAGTACTGAAAACAGCAGGTTTGACAAGAAGTAAATGTGTTCAAAATTTGACAGTATTAGATCAGTTTTGGTAGATTTATTTATAAGATTCTAAACCTTTGCTGCAAGGTGTTTTCATTAATATGAGATTATAGATGATAATAGAGTTAAGATATAAGTTCTCACATGTGCTGTGGACATCTGGGAGATTATATGGCACAATTTTGTTACCTATGAAAAAGCTTCTTTTTGTTAAGTATGTACTTTCAGTAAAATGATGGCCTGCCACGTGGCACTCTGGGACAAAGGGTGGTGTGCCATCCAGAAAAAGCCTGCTCTCTGGTCCGGAATGCCAAAACCATGTTTTCCCTTTGTCCCACCCCGATTGGACATCCAGAGGTAAGGGGGTTTCCCCAGCATCACCAGTTGTTCTCTTTGCAATTCAGTCGGCCCCATATGTTAGAAAAAAGATTACAAAGGTTTGAGAGTTTTTGAGAAAATGCCCCTCAGCCAATTGATAGAGATAACACAAGAGATCTTTTAAAATTTAGAAAAAAAAAAAAACACCCTGAGATAGTGCTCCTCCAGTTCATGAATGACTTGTTAATAGCCTCGACCCCCCCCCACCCAGAAGCTTGTAAGCTTATCGAGAGGCAACTGAGAAACTGTTAAGGACTTTGGGGCAATTAGGCTATAAAGTCTCAGCTAAAAAGGCCCGATCGTGCTGTCAGGCTGTGACTTATCTGGGCTACAAATTGCAAGGAAAAAAAAAAAAAAAAAGGAGGACTTTGTCTAAAAAGGAGCCCAGGCTATATTGCAGATCCCATTCCCAGAAACTAAGAAACAGGTGCACTAATTTCTGGAAGCTGTCGGATACTCCAGGCTATGGATTCTAAATTTTACTGAAACAGCTCACCCCCTATATGGCTCCCTTAAGGGAAAAACTCACTAAACTGGACTTATAAATGTGAATGGATCTTGCAGCAGCTCATTGGGCCTTGACAGAGGCCCCAGCCCTGGGACTCCCTGATGTTACCAAGCCATTCATTTTGTTCATAGATAAACTCAGGGGCATTGCCAAAGGAGTCCTAACCCAGGACATTGGCCCTTGAAAGAGGCCTATAGCCTATCTTTCCAAAAGGCTCAATCCAGTAACAAGAGGGTGGCCTCCATGCCTAAAAATTCTGGCCACTGTGGCAATGCTACTTAAAAGAGGCTAAGAAACTCACTTTTGGACAGAAGATTTCTGTAGTGACCTCCCACAGTTTAGAGACTCTTATCAAAACCCGTCCCAAAAATGTGAATGCTAAAATCTCACACTATTAGGCCCTGCTCCTAGACCCAGAATTGGTAGTTTTCAAGACTTCTTCAGCTTTAAACCCGGCCACCCTTATGCCTGACAACGACCTGAGAAATTTCACAGATGAAAGCAGCTTCATCCAGAAGGCAGAGGCAGATGAGTGGCCAGGGCAGCAGTGACCACCAAAAAGGAGGTACTCTGGGTTAAACGGTTAGAGCCTGGCATCTCTGCCTAAAAGGCAGAGCTTATTGCTTTGACTGAGGTACTAAAACTAGCCACGGGAAAGAGGGTAAACATCTATACTGATAGTAGATATGCTTTTGCTACTATACATATATATAGAGCCATCTATTAAGAGTGAGGTCTCTTAACCTCGGCCAGAGCTAAGATTTAAAAAAAAAAAGAGGGCTCCACAGATCCTAGATTTGCTGGCAGCAGTCTGGCTGTCAGCAGATTGCTGCTATTCACCTGAGAAAACAATTTGGCAGATCAGGCTGCTCAAAGAGTAGCAATCACATCAGAGAGGCCAGCCGAGAAAGAGTCCCCCCCGACCTTGTCAGAACAAGTCTACACAAAGAAAGACTGCACTGGTTGTTGTGAGCCATCTAACAGATTCCAGTCCCTGTGACTAAAAGACAAGTGCAAAATTTCTAGGAGCCACAGGACTGATCCAGAGTTTGGGACCCTGGCAGAGGCCTGTTGCCTACCTTTCCAAGAGACTTGGTTCTGTGGCAGCCAGATGGCCAACCTGTCTGCAGTGATTTCCTCAGTGGCCCCCTCATAAAGGAGGCTTAAAAATTGACTTTTGGACACAAATTCTTAATTGTTTCCTCCTATTCGCTGGAGACTCTCTCATCAAGGCCCCACCAGACTGATGGATGTCTAATTCCTGAGCCATACATTATCAGGCACTATTTCTGGAAACAGCAGCTTTAAACTCGGCTACTTTGCTGCCTGAGGATGACCCCTCGTTGCCTCACGGAACGTCGACCTTATCTAGTGGATAAGCTACTGTCTAGAGTTCCATCCTACTTCTCTGATGGAAGCAGCTACGTCTATCAAGGTAAGCGGGTCGTGGGAGCTGCCATTACACAAAATCTTAGGTTCTATGGGAACAAATCTTAGAGCCAGAGACATCAACATAGTGGGCTAAACTCGTTGCCCACACTGAGGCCTCAAGTTGTCTTTATCAAAAATGGTGTTTATCGTCTTCTGGAATCAAAAGATTAAAATTGCTCCCCAAATTTGGACTTGTTGGCTGCCATCTAGATGCCAAGGAGAGTGGCTACTATCTGCTGTATAAGCCATTGGGCAGAAGATGATCTTGTTATAGGAGAAAATAATTTGGCAAATGCCACCTTCCAAAAGACAGCCAGAAAGCCCCAAAATCAGTGGGGATTGAGATAAGCTTGACATTACTGCTGATCCCACCTATTTTCTTTGTCAGAGCCCATTTGCACTTAAAAAGACTAGCATCTGGTAGCTCAACTTCCGAGAGATCCCCGGGGGCTAATATCAAGCTAGCCCAGTCTGTGAGCTTCAGATGCCCTCAGTGCCAATTGGTAAATCTAAAAGTACTGCAACAAATAGAAACCACTAGTTATCATGGTACCATGCCTAAAAACACTGGAAAATAGATTTTACAAAAATAAAAAGCCTAAACTTCAAGGATATAAATGTTATAATGGTTGATACTTTCACTAGATGAGTAAAAGCATTTTCTACTTAGTCTGAGTCAGCTCTGATAACAGTTTCCCTGATTTGGTCTCCCTTTTTATCCGCGGGGTCCGACAATGGCCTGGCTTTTATAGCCTAGTAACTCAAATTAACCTAAGCTTTGCAGATCAATTAAAAAACTCGATTGGGCTTACCAGCCTCAGAGTTCAGGAGAGGTAAAAAGTTAAGTCAGATTTTAAAGACCATAATTACTAATGGCCTTAAAAACTGGCGAAAACTGGGTGAGTCTCTTTTCCTTCTGCCCCTTTTGCGTGTGTGATGCAACCCCTATGTTGCAGATATTTCCTCTTTTGAGGTTTTATGTGAGAAGGTTTCTAGAAATTAGCTGATTTAACTAATCATGATCTTATTAAGTCTCCCCCAGACTTTTCAGCTAGCTGTGACTTCCATCCACTGGTTACTTCACTGCTGCCCACTGCGAGCTAAAGAGCCTAAGCACCAGGACAAGCAACCTCACCATAAATCTCTTGAGAGCAACCTCACCCTGAATCTCTTAAGACGCAATGGACTGTCCAAGTAGCTGAATGCCTGCCTGGATTCAACATTCCCACTGCAGACAGGTCCCAGCTTCAAAAGACTATCAGCCTGCGGATAAGTGAACTGTCATTTCTTCCAAGGACACTTTAAAGCTTAAGATTGTCTAATATAACTGATAATTTTGTGTACTCCTCCTTTGTAGAGACCCCAAGGAGGCCTCTGTCTGGCTTAAAAATTGTTACTTGTATGATAAAACAGAGTAAATTTAAATGTTGGTTATCTTTCTCCTTTTGGTTAACAGCTTTAATGACAGCTGCAAGACCTTTGTCAATCGTCCTACTGGGCCTTGTGTTGTAAATAAGTAGACAAACTATGTCAAAGTTCTTAAAAGCTTATGATTTTAAAGACACATGCAAGGTTATAAACAGATGCTAATGAGTCAATCAATGGGGAATGTTGTACTTTAAAAAAAATAGCTTCGTTTTATGTGTATTATAGCAAACCTGTAAAGTGACTTACTAAATGTTTTGTTTTACCCTTTTTCCCTAACTGATATGTTAAGTGACCTAATTGATATGTTGAACAACACTCGACTCTGTAAAGAATTGCAAGAATCTCACCTAATTGATATGTTAACCATTTTTGCCCTCTACAAACTACAGAAGCTGTGCTAAAACAAGCTAACAAGGGTTGTTAATCACTGCTAGGTGCCTCTATTCTCAGTTAAAGAGTTAAAAAAACAAAAAAAAAAACAAAAAAAAACAAAACAAACAAAAAAAAACTAGAAGGGCAATTAATTTACATTTGTTTGGGGTAACCTGCTTGTGTGCAGAGAGATTTGCGTGTGAGTTTGACCTTTTACCCTGACCTTGACACATAACCGCCATTTTCTGTTCTGTATGGTGCCTTATTGCCTCCCTCTCCCCTCACCTATCTATCTAGGCCATAAAGAATTTGGGTTTCTGGTGACCTCTCCCCAACCCGGTGATGATCTGTCATAAAATAAGCCTCCCAAAGTTTAAGAACTGTTTAGCTTCAAAGAAATTACCTGGAAATACTATGGCCCAAACCCCAATCGGTGCTTTCCTTTTGTTCTGTATGTATCAAATGAGTTAGATATCAGATCTTTGTAAAACTTAAGTTTCAGCTTCTTGTAACTCTTGACCCCTTCGCACTCACTAGCGAAGACAAGCTGTCCTGAGATAATTAACTCTCCACTTTCTTCTCCAAATATTGCTGCACACCTGCCACTCTGAGATAATGTCAGTCTGCAGGATGGGAGTAATTAAAAAAAAAAAAACACCAGAAACTCCCGAGATTGTCAGAGCTAAGCAAGCAGCAATACAGTTTCCAGACTCGGGTCAACAAGTTTGATGGCTCTACAGGTTTCTTTATAAATCACATAACTCAATTTATTAACTCCCAAGTCTCTCAGATAAAAATAATGGTCCTTAGACAACAATATACTCCCTTAGCTATAATTGACCTCTAAGATTAGAGGTATTATGGAGAAGAGGGGGGGAATGAAGAACCAGAAATTTAAAGGTTAAAAACAAGATGCTGTTTCTCAGCTAGAAACAGCACTGGGCCTCATGACTCAGTCCTAACTCAGCCCTGCAGAAATAAAAACAACCTCTGTGGCTGTGATATGCTCGGGCTGTGCTGTGCCAGGGAACTCAGAGATAGATCCTGCCATTATGCTAATCAGGGTTGTAAAATATGTCAGACTCAAGTCTACAGAAACCAGGTGTCTTAAAGACAAGTTGTGCAGAACAAAGACAGTTAATTAACTCTGACCTGCTGGTCACCCCTTATGAACTGACCAATAGCAGATAGATAAGATGCCCACCACTCTGCACTAACTGTAATGATTGGCTTCTGTAATAAATGCTTACATTGCAGTTTTTCCCCCTTAAAAACACCAGCCTTGCCCCAACTCAGGGTTCTCCGTTTCCACCTGTTTGGAGGACCCCGTGTACACGGAATAATAAAAACCCCTTTGTTCTTACATGAGAGCAAGGCCCTTGGAGTCTCCTTCGCGACACCAGTCTTACAAAGCACTTCCACATCAATTCTTAGTTATTCCAGCAAGAAGTATTAATATATATATATATATATATATATATAAAGGAACAAAAATTTTTGTTTGACTTTTTATTTTCTACTTGGTTATATAATAGTCCTTTTTAGGCAGATGAGCCTTCACTTAATCACAACTATTAATAAGGAACTTTGTAAGTCATTATGTTTAGCTCAAAACCTCCAAGGCTAATGTCATCATTAAATCTTCAGAGAAGTTTAGAAAGGAAATTTGAAACTCTGAAACTTGAGCACATTTTGAAGTGCTCTTAAACTCTGAGTATCATCTTTGCTCCCAGAGGCTGCTTTATTGTAGTCTCATAGAGTGACATATTTAAAGGCTTTAATGGGAAAGACCCTGACACATTGCTAAGAACTATGCTGACATATTGCTAAAAGTAATTGTTTTTTGTGAATATTCTTTGAAAGTGTGTCTTCACAATTTACAGCCTGGAAATGACTTTTTTACAAAAGTCCACCCCAGAGCCTTGAACAGACCAGAGGACATTGGTCTTGGGTGTATATCTGTCAATTGAGTAGATATAAGCCATCTTCTTATTACTGAGACTGTCACAACCAGAGTCCTCCAACTGAGGATGTAGGAGGAATCTTCTAGAACCTTATGACTGCAGGAAAAGGATGGCTTCTCTGTAATACTGTCAGATCATTAAGGTGACATCTCCGAGTTGATAATTTCTGTATATCTTACAAGAAGAAGAAAAACAGATCCACAGGTAATTGTGCTTTAATCTTTCTGTGTATTTCCGCTTTTTCTTTTTTTCCTATTTTTGTGTTCATGCTTTTTATCAGATACATAACCTCATAATGATATGATTCATATTTCTGGTAATGTTTTTTCTATCCTCAGTCATTCTTTGAATGAACCAAACAGTTTGACAAATTTTGGTCATGAGTTGAGTGAAGGATAAATGTTAATGCCACTCACTTTTCTTTGGTACCAGTTCTTGTAATGAATTATGGCATTATGAATGACTTTTTAGATAGCAAGCACACAAAATTGATGAGTGACAGAAGTTTGAAATCTGTTGTCATACAGCTAGAGTGGTAGTTTCCTTTCTTCAATGGAGCAACTCATATGAGCCATTTCTGTTTGCTACCATTTTAATTCAGTTTTTCAAAACTGGAGCTTAACAAAGTACTAAGTAAGTGATGACCTATTTTTTGCCTTTTTTGATTAATATAACTGATCTCTAAAAACAGAAAAAATGTACATATTAATTGTACATATAGTTTGTACAGTTTAAGTCAAGTTAAACATATCTTTCTTCTCATTCAGTATTTCTGTAAGGTGAAAACAGAAAATCGAGCTTTTCAACATATACATCATCTTCCCTAGTCAATCTACTGTATGATAGCCTACTGGAACTTTTTATTCCTGTCTAATTACACATAGATCAACTTTATCAGATTCCTACCCCTACAATGTACTCCCCCTGTATTTGATAGTTGACTAACTTTTAAAGATCTTACAAGAGAATTTTACACTTATGTTTGTTCTCAAACTTTTTTTTTTATTTTAGAGCTATGTATTGACTTTAGTATCATATAACTTGTCTATCAGAATTGGGTATTTTTGGAAATTGGTGTCCAAACATTGCAAAGCTACTCTACTACCCAATAGTCATGTTTATGGCTGAAAACAGATCACAATGTAATAAGTAGACTATTCCTCTTTGGTTAATTCACTTCTGTAATCTTTTAATTTCAGTCCTTCTTGCCTTTTTGCTGTACATTGCATGAGTTAAGAAATTCTGAATTCTGACTCTTTTGGAATCCACGGGATATTGAAACCATGCATGGCCCTGACTATGTGCAAGAAACTCATCAAAGTCATGCTTTTTAATGAAAATAAAGATTATGAGCTAGTCCCCTCTTTTTACTCTTTTGAGTCATTAGTACTTCTCTGCTCTCCCAATAGAACTCAGGACAACCAATAAAAATTATATTTTCTTGATGTGTGAGTCTATGTGGTACGAACCATTTCACTATTGAATCAAAATTTTTGATGAGTTCCCATTGTTAATTTACAGAATGACCACAAGTGGTTGCACTGGTGTATCATACAGAAAATGATGAAAAGTAGATGTAAATTACCAAGCTTAACTGTTGGCTTTGAAATGCTAACTAGAAAAAATTGCTTCAGGAAATTTTTGCAGTCTCCTTGCAATTTTCTCATTTGGGTAAATACTGATCCAGTCAGTATCACTTCCTGTTTACCTGAACAAAGAGCCTCATTACCAAGACAACATCCAGTGCCTTGAGGCTGGCTTCAAGACTCTGCCTTGTTACCTTCATTATATGAACTCTGACAATGGGTCCCAACCACATTTCTTGCCTTAAAAAGTTCATGTTAAACTGCTTGAACACAAGAGGCAACAAATCTGTAATTGCTGCTGTCTTTCCTTTCCCTTCTGAAACTTAGAAGTTTGTAAAATTGACTTCAATTCTTCATTAAAGTTAATACACTCCACTTTGACTCATCAACTGGTTTTTGTTAAGTAGGGGAAGGACAATGTGGTTTTTGTAGTATATGTAGTGTTGATACAGAGTTTAAACCTTTTTCTCCTTTATTTCTCCTAATGTTTTACTTAGCTTAACTTAGTTCACACATCGTCACTTTTTTTCCCTAAGTACAGGCATGCTAGACTCAGTATTTCACAGATAATTTTTGATAGTCATATCTTTTTGTCTCTATTAGTCTTTAATTATATATCTGTATCTACCTATATATAATATCTAGACCATATATTTTAGTCTATATGAGCTCAATATGAACTCAAGATCAACAGACTGTGCCTGGAATCTGTGTCATTAATTTATACAATCAGCACCAATGAAATGTTGTTATTGGACTCTTATTGAGTATAGGTTCTTTTTTTTTCCATTGAAAGGATTCCTATTTTTTAAAAAAAATTAACTGGCAGAATTTAGATATATATGATGATCACATTTTTGGTAGCTATGTTCATACAGCTGAGCCTTTAGCTTAGAGGGTAAAGACCATTTGTATACATTAAATAGAGTTCCTTGGAACAAATCCAAGTATTACAAACAGAACATAGCAAAAAGCTATTCGCTTTCTTTTTTGCAAATATTCTGAAGAGCAGTGTGCAAGGGCTAAAGGTTGATTTCAGTCGTCTGACTAATGACTAAATCGTGCTAACATAATGATAAAATCTCAGTTGAAAATTCTGGACATCTCCCTTGGAAGGACTTCCTTGATTGGTGATACTCTGTAGGCATTGCTCATTATTAAGCCAAGAGGGCAACTCTTTTTGATTCCTCCAGAAAGAGGACACTGGAAGTCTAAACTCTCAGACTGTCTCAGCCCTGTGTATATCTTTTCTTTGAATAACTCTGATTTGCATCCTCTCTGTCATCACAATGAAGCTAGAATAAAAAATATATCACTTTTCTAAGTTGTATGACTCACTCTAATGAACTGTCAAACTTTAGTCATCATGAGACCCATGGGATTGGCTAGTTGGTAATAGATCAAGGTGGCTCTAGGAACATTTACCTTGTATCTGACATGTAAACTAAGGGTAATATTGTGTAAAACTGCTCTTAATGTGTCAAATTTGGCCCAACTATAAGTGATCAGCATCATAAGGCATCACACTGATATTTCTCATGCTGCTAAATACTCAGCAGATCTCAGTAATGATCTCAGCCACTAATGAACCCACCATCCTGTGGAATGCCTGTGGCCCCTATCCAGAGTACTTAAGTAATTCAAAGTTTGGAGAATAGCTGGAGTCCAGTCTGTCCACCTGTCATAGCTTCTAGCATGTCATTATTCTTCATCTCCTTAAAAGATGCGATTAACACCAGAGGCTAGTAATTGCTTCTTGAATCTCCGGGATGGGTTTTACTTTGTGTCCCCTAGATTCCTTTGAGAGTCAAAAGATGTAATAATCCTTTAGTTTTTCCAAAAGTCATTGGATAACTGCTCTGAGATGACAGTTCTTGGTAGAAACTGCTTTTTGCTGGGGACATTTATTTTGTCCCAGGTGACCTCGCCTTCCCAGTGAAAACTTGCATTTAGTTAGTTTATGAAGTGTGATCAAAAAATATGTGGAATATTAAATTTTAAAAATTAAAGGCCATTAAACTGCCTCAGCATACTCCCCCTGACTCCAGACACACCTGCCATGGTTTTTACCACTGTATGAAGCAGTTTTGGAAATTCTTTCCCATGAGTGTCTTTAATTGCACTGCAGTGGCTCCCTCAATGTCTTTATTGTTTCAAACTTTTAAAAAACCTTAATGGCTATTTTTGCACAGTGCCAGATCTGATGAATAAGGTAGATGAGAAACCCTGTAGTATTCTGCAAGCGTTCTTTTCTCTTGGATGGCACTGGACAGCAGCATTCTCTATAATTAACGTTGTAACTTGAGTAGACACTCATGAAAGAGGACTTACAGAACCACTTCAGAAAGTGACAAGAGGATGGGATAAGCATGCTGGAAGCAATGCGAACATTTTGTGGGAGATTAATGGTAATGCATCTTTCACTGTACCATTTTAAAAATGGAAACATTAAGTGTATGTTTTGATCACCCACTGCAGATGCAGGAGTATGACATTCCACTCCTTCACCACAGGGAAGCCAGGGCCGAAACACACTGAGTGCTTCAGCTTTTTTGTGTATGTCTATTTATGCTGTATCACAGTTCAATTTCTTGTTCATCCAATGCTGCACTATTCCATTCCATTTTATAGGTGTCAAGCCCTATGTTAAAATTACTGTGAACATCTCAGATTCTGTTTCTCAGGAAACACTATCTGCAATAGTTGTTATCGTGATTTGTGAGAGAAAGAAGAGAGAGAACTCAGGGATTTATCCACCTGCTTTTAACAATTGGAATCCTATCAGTGGATTTAAATGGTTCTAACACAAGAAAACAATACAAGGCCAACTGTAGCAACACATGTCTTTAACCCTCATATGCTGAGAGGCAAAGTCAGGAGGATTGCAGGTTCAGCCTGGGTCTAAGCAACACTGACTTACTGAGACCCCATCTCAAGATTTTTTTAAAAAGGGCTGGAATATAGCTCAGTGTGAATATTCTAGGTTTTGTCTCTAGGACCACACTCTTACACACACATGCACAAATATTGCTAAAACATTTAATGCTGGAAACCTAGATTTTGCATGTACTACCTAGCAAGTCTTTGGGGTAACAAATAGCATAGAGAACAACAAAGTAACTGACTGTTGCTAAGTGTAATTGATGCTTTGAGGAAGATAATCAAAGGGTAGGAGTGATTAAATAGTAATTGGAAATTAAATGTGAATGTGAAAGGACTTTCTTGGTGGCACAGCATGTTCTAATTATAGCCAGAAAGCAGTTCAACTGACTTCACCATTAAAGTACTAGAGCTTCAACTTTTAACAGTGAGCCAAGACAGTTCTAAATAAAATCAAGACTCCAACTGAAAAATAAAATGATTTCATCATGTGATGGAGACATCTGAGTTGGAATCTTGGATTCATAGATTTGCCTAGACTATTCCTTCATGCAAATGTAGCCGACTCTTCTCCTTAGAAGCTAGCAGACACTCTGCTTGTAAGACAAAATAAATCTGTCCCCTGTAAGGACATGTAAGTCTTATCTTCAGGAATTTCTCTCATTTTCTTTCCAAGCTATGAGACCAACCATTAAGAATAAATCATAATTTAACTTGAAGGGAGAAGCACTTAATCAGTTAAGGTGTTAAATGGGCTATTGCCCGAAAAGTTACAGATAATGAATGTCCTCTTTTGCTTTGATGAGAGAATTAAGTCTCATCATTCAGAGACAGCCATATGAGAAACTGGATGTCATTTCTAACACATTTCTAACTAAGTGAGTGCTTGAACTTATATCATCTCCCCTAAGAATATTCCTAGTCCATCAAGGTAGAAGTACTTCTTGCAGATATCAATGGTTTCTTGTCTATATTTCTGCTGTCAGCGTTATCCTATTCCTATTATTTATAGACCTGCCTTCTGTGCTACTGTAAGTGTTTTGGAAAACAGACAAAATGTTTGATTCTCCCTTGACCACATAAAATTAGCTCAGTGTCTGGCTGTCCCCTAAAATATTAAATCTTCCATGTTTGCTTATAGTTCTGGGCGATTGCAAATAATTGGAATTTCATTATTGGCTCACCTTTTCTTAATATGCTTTACTTTTCAAGTTAATAAGGAAATAGATGTGTAAAGATGTTGTATACTTATTCATTTTTACTAAACTCCATAGGGATAGTAGAATTCTTCTGTCTACAAGATATCTGCCTAGGCATCCAAATATGAATTTGAATTGCCATGATTACATTGAAATTATGAAACCAAATAGCATTTTCTTCTTTAGACATAAATAAAATTAGAATTTTAGAGGCACTTTTTCCTTGGGTCCCCAACAATTCTATGAAATTGAGAAAATGCATAATCTTAATGTAATTTTGCTTACATCTATCTTCCCATAATGATGGCATGTTGTCAAAATCTGACACTAAAAAGCAACATCATTGCCTCCTTCAAGCACATGTGCTCAAAGCTGCCAACTTAAGGCTTAAGTTATGACCTTAAAACTAGGTGATATTAGAATCCAACTAGCTTATGGCCACTTAAACACATTTTATTGGCATCTAAGTCAGGAAATTCAGTGCTATCGCTAAGTTCTAGTTTCCGAGAAGGCTGGTGAAGCTTCACAGTGCTCAGCTCCAAGTGACAGATGCAGATTCTTGGAAGCCGTGCTAGAAGGAATTATAATAAGCTGGCTGCATGATGAAGAAAGCATGCAGATTATGGCAGGGCATTTATGAGAAATATGGATTCATCTGGTACTGTTTACACATCAGAGAAATATATTTTTGTGCTAAATCCAATCTGTGATATTTCAGTGAGAACATGTGGCCTTCACTAATCCTCTATCGGAGCTGATCTCCCTATTCACAGAAAGAGT